CCATCCATCTACCCACCCATCCATCCACCCACCCATTCATCCATCCATCCATCCATCCATCCATCACCCATCCATCCATCCATCCATCCATCCATCCACCCACCCATCCATCCATCCATCCACCCATCCATCCACCCATCCACCCACCCATCCATCCATCCATCCACCCATCCACCTATTGCACACATATTATTGTGTGCTTCTTCCATGTAGCATGATAGTGAACAGCAGGGTATTTGTAGTCAGACTGCTTGAGTCTATACCTGGCTCCACCATTTATAGGCTGTACAAAACCTTGGCTAAGTTTCTTAACCTCTGTGTTTCTTTTCTATGGTCTGTTAAATGGGAATAACCTAAGGGTTCTTGTGAAGATCAAATGGGTCACTTTCTGCATAGTGCTTAGAACAGTATCAGGCAGAGCTAGCACTCTATGTGCTTGATTTTACTGTTATTGTTAAAACTATTTTTATCATTACTGTGCTCGCACGTGTGTGTGTGTGTGTGTGTGTGTGTGTATGTGTGAAGTATCAGGGTCTGGGAGTATAGTTAGATAAAACAAACAATATTCTGGTTGCATGGAATTTACATGTTGGTGAAAAGGAAAGATAATAGCAATTACTATTATCTGTGCCAGGCTCTGGACAAAGTGCTTAGTATCTATTTTCCCACTTAATTCTCAACATTGCCCTTTGTAGGAAGTCTGTTAGTACCTGTTCCATTTTACAGGTGAAGCAGCTGTGTGCTTGGAACTCCAGAGCCTGAGGACCTAACCATGACAGTCTACCCCTTTGGATCAGACTGGAGGTTGGAGCTAATAACCTCCACTCCCTTGGCCAAGTGCTTGTCTCTGCTCTTGGCTGACTGGTGGCTGGTCCTGGTCTCACTGGTGTCTCTCCTCCTGTCTTAGATGAGGAATGCTCCACCACAGACCACCCCTACAAGAAGCCCTATATGGAGACGTCCCCCAGCGAAGAGGACTCCTTCTACCGCCCCAGCTACCCCCAGCAGCAGGGTCTGAGTGCCTCCTACAGGACAGAGTCAGCCCAGCGGCAGGCCTGCATGTACGCCAGCTCCGCGCCACCCAGCGAGCCAGTGCCCAGCCTGGAGGACATCAGCTGCAACACATGGCCCAGCATGCCCTCCTACAGCAGCTGCACGGTCACCACGGTGCAGCCCATGGACAGGCTGCCCTACCAGCACTTCTCTGCTCATTTCACCTCAGGGCCCCTGGTCCCGCGGCTGGCTGGCATGGCCAACCACAGCTCCCCACAGCTGGGAGAGGGCATGTTCCAGCACCAGACCTCCGTGGCCCACCAGCCTGTGGTCAGGCAGTGTGGGCCTCAGACTGGCCTCCAGTCCCCTGGCAGCCTGCAACCCCCTGAGTTCCTCTACTCTCACGGTGTGCCCAGGACCCTGTCCCCACACCAGTACCACTCTGTGCACGGAGTTGGTATGGTGCCAGAGTGGAGCGAGAACAGCTAAAGGTAGGCTGGCCTCGCCGTAGACGTTTGCCAGGGAGAGAGAAAGGGAGACAGAAAGAGAGAGACAATCAGTAGCAAAGACAACCCCATTAACAAAGTCTTCATTTCATCCCATGTTTGCGTCTACTCTTGAGGCCGCTGGACACTGATGTAATTATTAGCTTGTGACCACCTCTCAAAAATGTGACTCTGTTGTTTTGTCTCAAGACTTAAAAAGAAAAACAAACAAAAGAAGACGTGCCGAACCCCCACGACCACAGCACTCATGGACCAGCCACATTCCCACCACCGGGATGTCTTTCTGGACTCCTGCCTTTGGGTTCCAGAACACCCAGCCTCATTGAGTGCTCTATCCTGACGCGCAGTGGAAGTCTTTCTCTGTTTCCGTGTTAATGTCGACTTTGTTATATAATAAATAATAATATATTTTTTTCTGCTAATTTCCTTAACGGGACCCAGTCCCTTATTAGAGGGAGATTAGAGGCAAGTACAGTTCAAACTATGGACTTGTTGGTTTCCTGTCACATCCACCAGCCCTAAAACTTTCATTTAGCACCTTCCTCTGCCTAAGAAAAGCACCTACCTCTGCCGTGGGATGTTTCGGAAAGGGGTCCCCAGTCCCTAACTGGCTGTTTTGATTTCGTTCTGCCGTCCCTGTGATTGTGGCGCTCACTTTTGATTTCTGTGTGTGGATGGAGTTAGGATAAGGTTGGGCTCCATCTGACGTCCTATCTTCCCCCCGGCTTCCCAGCTTCGGGTCTCTCCAGCCGTCTGTCGCTAAATCATGGCCTATAGCTTCCTGTCCGGAAATCTTGCTTTGAAAAACTTAAAAAGCCCTGGTTTACATGTGGGCAGGACCGTGATAAGCAGGGTACAAGCTGTGTGCTGACAAGAATTGTGACAAAAAGCCAAAATAAATATTCGTCGTGATAAAAAACAAAGCCAGCCCCTAGCTCCCAAACTTCCATCACCAGTGATCCAAAAGGGATACAAAGGAAAACCTAGGATTCCTCAAGAGGCAAGATGCACTCGCTGAAGATTTCTCTCCAGAGCAATCGCTGCAATGCCAACACGACATTGTGTGTACTGAGAGCAGAAAATGGTATTAGGAAGAAGTGTGTGTAAGTAACACATTATTGTAGGGCTCCTCAGATGTAATATTTTACTTGTACTATTTATTTATAAATGGGAATTCTAATTAAGTAATAACGTGAAGCCCAGCATGGGAGTTGACCAAGAGCTTTTTAATTTTATTGATACTCGAATCCAAGTTTGTTTGTTTTTTTTTCCTTTTGAATGTGCTTTGCTTTCTTGATTAAAAAAAAAAAAATTAACTGACCCTAATTAAAGAAAAAAAAAAAAACAGGGTAATATGTGAGGCTGAGTCTGTCCATGTACGAGAGAGCGTGAGGGTGTGTGCGGTGCGTGTCTTTATGCGATTTTGTCCTTTTATGTTGCTGGGGGGAGGGTGAGATCTAAGTACTCGCTCCTTATATGTGTGTGCTAATGAATGCCTAATAAATACTGTGTGCTTAAAACAGTACCGGAGACTTGAACACCCATTTTTTTCTTTCTGTTCTTGCTACCGATGGCAGAGAGGGGCTCTGAGGTGGAGGACACCTGAGGGAATTGTCTTGCATGTAACTTTTGTACACCTGTGCCTTTTCTGGCTGATGACAGGGGTGTTCTGCCTCCATCGTCTTTGAACATGACAAAGCTGAATGTATTTACCCAGTAGTTATAGCCCTAGGATGAGGTTACTTGCTTTCATCGAATTTGTTTTACCATGGGGAAAGAACCAGCGTTAGAAATCGCAGTGGCTTGAACACTGGTACTGGCCTTACTATCCAACACCTCATGCTTGGTTTCTCTGGAAGTCTGTCTTTCTCCAAATCGATGATCAGGTCGGGTGTTTTGGTGATTCCAGCGCAAACAACTCTATGGGTGATCAGTGGACCACTATTTTTTTCAACCCCACAGATTTCAGATTTGTTCTACGCAGAACACAAAAAGCACAGAGCAGGGAAACCAATCGGTGGATAAACGGGTGCTGCGATTTTTCTTTCAAGTTTTGTAATTTTGGTGCCTACATCCCTCAAGTGATCAAGAGCCATCCGGTGTGTAGCATTCGCTTGAAACAGGCACAATTGGATTATTGACAACAAATTATTCATTTCACCAGGTCCCCCCCCCCCCGAACCTCCCCGAGGCAGCGCGCTCCTGAGAAGTGTAAATTAATTATAAAGAAAGGACAACGCAGCTTCTTCCAAGCACACTGGAGAAACTAGGTCAATGGCTCGTTGGCCCTCCAGGGACCGAATTAGTAAAGTTGCACTAAATAAGTTCTGACTGTATTTTCAATAGATGTTTATTCTGACAAGCTTAATTTTAAGTTTGCCTTCGAAAAATTATCTCCCAAATTAATTTTACCAGCTATCAAAGACTATCAGGCTTACTCTTCCTGAAGAGCCCCATGTAAATACAGGTTGAGTATCTCTCATCTGAGATGCTTGGGGCCAGAAGGGTCTCAGATTTTGTCATTTTGGTTTTGCGTTGTAGAGTATTTGCATAAGTATATTTGGGGGGGGATGGCATCCAATTCTGAATATGAAATGCATTTATGTTTTTTTATAACCTTTATTTTCATCATCTGAAGGCAATTTAATACAATGCTCTCAGTAAACTGCATTTTGACTGTTAGCTGTCACATGAGGTCACGTGTCACGTTTTCCAGTTACGGTGTCACGTGGGCACTTGGAAGGTTTCGGGTCCTGGGACATTTTGGAGTTCAGATTTTCAGATGAGGGGTGTGCAACCCGGCTGAACCGATGCCTCATTTTCACCACTCAAACATTTGCCACTGCTCAAAGCCCATTAGAAAGATGTTCACGAGAAGCTTCCTAACTCAGAAAAGAAACACTGTCATTCCATAAAAGATACACCTCCTGTTTGGGTTCCAGACATTCGTTACAAAGGATCTTTTCCTGAATCAGTAGAATTAAAGATATAATATCCCAATATTCACATAGGTGGTTTTTTTTTGGTCTGTTTATTTTGGAGTACTGGGGATTGGACCCAGGTAACACTGAGCTACCTTCCCCAGCCCTTTCAGTTTTTTCATTTTGAGACAGAATCTTGCTAGGTTGTTCAGGCTGGCCTCAAACTTGTGATCATCCTGCGTGCTGGGATTATGGATGTGTACCCCCAAGGTCACCTAGCTTTATCATTGTGTTGACTTCTCAGCTGAACCTTAGTGAAGAGAATAGCCAGGTAAAATTTGGGGAAGAAAAAACATTCCAGGCAGAGGAACAGTGGATGCAAACATCTAGCGGCAGAAACTGAGATTTAATGGTTGGTAGTCACCTAGTCTGCATTCTTTCTCTTAGTCAGCAAACATGTATTACGGTCCTATCCTGTGTAGTAGATACCCCTCCCTGCTGAGGATCTAGTAGTATGTAAGGCTCGTTTCCAGTGAGCTCTTACAACTGCGAAGCACAGATTCTGGTTGTGTGGGCTGGTAGGCTCTGGGCTTGGGAGAGAAGTGTGATAGCATTCAAAGACTTGGTTCTTGTTCTTGAGCTCAGAGAGGTTAGGAATTCTCAGTTCACTCTGCAGAAGGGTGGCAGAGTTAAGCATATTCCCTAGCTTTATCCAAACTTCTGCTTCTCCCCTTATTCCAACCTGTCTCAAAGGTCTGGGGTGAGTTTAAGTGAAATAATATTCAGGGGGAATATCCACTAAAGTGCTTTACACAGCAGATACTACATAAAGGCTTGAAAAGGCTTTTATCTGTGAAATACAATTTTTTTACTCACCGACTTAGCAAACACACATTTTAAAAATGATGCCTGTTGCTAATGAGAAACTAGGAAATCTCATCAACTCTGTTAAACCTTTTGGGAGGAGACTTTGGCAAAATAAACCAAGTTTTCAAAATGGTGCTAAGCATTTAATCTGATAAACTTGCTTTGAGGACTTGGTCCTGAGAAAAGAATTGGGGATGTGCATACATATTTTTAGGGAACTTTGTCTTGCTTTTTCTTTTTTTAATCTTGCAAAGTTTGAGGCAGGCTTCATAGCCAATACTATGGGGTTCATGGGGTAAATGAATGTATACCCAGAGGGATATCACATGATAGCAAAGAGATTGTAAGTCAAGGAAATAAGCTGTGGTTGAAACAGCAGCTTCTGAATTTTATGGAGTACTCATCCATGCTTAGAAGGGGAAAAAAACAATAATACCAATGGTGAGATCATGGGTGTTTACGTTTTCTTTGTGTTGTTGGGTATTTCCCTTTTGTCCTTGGTGAGGAAGATGGTTTATTCAAATTAGTAACATCAAATCTAGTTTGTGTTTGGCCTTGCTCATCAGGAGCTTGGGAGGAGGGTGTACTAACACTTCTGTTTGCTTTGAGGATGAAGGGAGGGAGGTCCCATCGTGAGTGGCGGTGACCCAGGCAGTGACAGAGCTGGTCCCGGTGCTGATTGGCAATCGCTCCTCACAGAACCTGCTGTTGCCACAGCAAAGTGGTGCCTGGACACTTGTGTGTCTGCTTTCTAGGGCTGCTGCCTCCTCACTCGGTGTGCTGGGTGGGAGAGGCTATTGTCCAGGGCAAGCTCTTTGTTCCTTGTTAATAAATACAATGTGGAAACACACACACACACACACACACACACACACACACACATTGAACGAGGCCTTTTTAAAAAACCTCACCTCTGTTCTGACATGGGTTATTAAATTCACGCTCCCACTCACTGCCTGTGATTCTGCACAAGGCACTTAACCCCTGTGACCTACCATGTGCTCGTCTGTGGCCTGGGGACACTAGTACTCACCCGAGACCATTCTGGGTCTAGGGAAGCTGCTAGGAGGTCTTGTGGTTGCACAGAAGCTAGGCATGGAGAAAATGCTCAGTAACCATTAGCTGATAAAAATAGATGAATCAGTGTTACTAATTCTGCTCCTCCTCCTCTTTGTCCTCCTCCTTCCCTTCCTTTTTTTGTTGGAAGATTTGCTCCTTTGATCGTGTGTTAGTTTTACAGCCACTTTAAACTTAGTGGAGGTTTGGAAAACATCTCGGTCACCATCACCATCACCATAATCACCACCATAATCACCATCATCATCAGCATCATCACCTTCAGCAATAACTAAAACCACTTCCCACATGAGCGTCTTCTTCAATGTGATTTAAGTAGCTGACTTTGTAAGTGACTATCCACTCTGACTCTTCGTGGCCAGGAAGAGGAGATAACAACTTTTACATCTCTGAGGCTGACCATCAGCCCCTTTCTTTTCTGATCTCAAAATGCATTTTTATTCCACTTAACGAAGGAATCATGCATATTAATCCCACCAGAAGTGCGGGCCCTGATCCTACAACTGTGAGTGCTGGGGCGAGCGCAGATGAAGGCCGTTGCCGGCCATGGCAGTGTCTGGCTGACTCCCTCCGTTATTGGTAGAAGTAAGTGTGGTCACAGCTCTCGCTTGTGCACCTTGTGCAGATACTTTGTCCCCATACTTGGCAGCACACCTTAGTACTGGGAGTTCTCAGGGAAGGAAGACCTAACTAGAGACGTCAGGTGACATGGCCAAGGCCACCCAGCCTCGGAGTGGCTTGTCCGCCACCCACACTGCCAGCTCCCTTAGGCACTGGGCCAAGTCATGCCATCCCTGTTCCTCCCCACTGGCCAGGAGCAGAGAGCGAGACCAAGGCAGGTAGAGGCCGGAGCGAGACACCATGGCTCCAGGTGAAGGCCCCCGCCCGCCCCATGGGGCCTTCAACCTCGGGTGAAATGAAGGCAGTTTGGATTCTGTGCCTGCAGCCTGGAGTCTCAAAGGGCGAGACCTTTTGGCTTTCTGTTCCCGGAAGCCCAGATTCCCTGGGAAGAGTGACCTCCCCACTTCCCCTAGCCTCAGTTTCCACTTCTGCAAGGTGCGCAGCGGCTTTAGAGGCCTGGCGCAGGATGGGAGGAGAGGCTGGGTGTGACGTGCTCAGTTCAGCAGCCCCGCGCCGCCTCTGTGCACCCGAAACACAGACCTCGGCCGGCGCGACCTGCCTGAGAGGCAGTTAGCAGAATCCTCTTTTCCCCTTCACATTCAGCCCTGGTGGCCCTTTCTCTCTCTTCCACTCCAGCTCTTCCTCTGCCTGGGCCAAGAGAGCTTCAGGAGGGCAGGAACACTCCAGCTCCCTCACTTGTACTTTCCCCAGAAGGCGCTCACTAGCTATGACCTGGGCAGAGGAATTAGAAAGCAGCTCAGTAGATGTGTCCCTCAGGGACAGGATTCCACCAGCAAGTCAGGGCTGTCGCAGAGGATATGCTGTCTGGAATCTGATTACAAATAGAGCTAGTGTAGACGTCTCACCTCAAGGGCCTGCCTTGAGGCTGTGGCTTTGTACGGCTGCTTCTCTCTGGGGGTGGGAGGCTTCCTCGGCATGAACTCAGGCACAGCCGATAGTATGACTCTGGGGACACCCTGGTCATGGACCCTGGAAGCCAGTGGCAAAACCCAGCCTCCTGTTTAGCTCAGCGGCACAG